TACTGAGAAAAGAATTTTATGAGTCATCCTCATATTCCCAAATCATGCCAAGTCTAGCAATAGAAGACAGTTAAGCAAAATTATAGTCCCCTCCACCCACCCTAAATTGTGCATTTCCGTTCCTCAGTTTCTTTTCGTTCCCGTTTTTTTCAATAAGTGTAGTTGATAGTTTGCGCTTGTCGTGTCCACTTTGGAACGTGTGTCCTTCCTAACTTCATTTCTCCCAGCGGACTGTAGCGCAGTATTTTAATCATGCAAAACCAGCTAGCCCAACACCTTACTTTGCTTCCGATGCCTCTGTGTTAATCTGTTTCTGTTCATACAGATACTCATGTCTCGAGTTTTCATTTAGCGCATCTGTGCCACTGCTTACTGTACATGAAGCAGTTGAAAGTAGCACTCGTTCATGTCGTATCTTTTTCTTGCGCTCATAATAGTGTAATTCTTTAACTAATTTTCTCTGTGAGCTACAGTCGTATATTTGTACATTCTTGTTTTTACAATTTAAACCCTATCATCATGTTCAAAACCAGGAGCTATAGTAAAATGGAATTTTTTATGCCTTTGTTTTGCACCATAGTTCTGTGATAATAATACAGATGGTGGTTACAGAGCTGTGGAGAGTTTTTTTTTTTTTTTTTTGATGAATTTGTTACTTGTGTGTACATGTTATTTAGTTTTTTGCATCCTATTCATAATAGCATCTTAACTTGCACGAGCGTTAGCGACGTATTTTTTTAGTTTGTGTTACCATATAGCTGCGATACATTACAGTGTCATCAGAATTGCAACTGAGAAAAGAGTGATGCTCTAATATAGCCAAATGTGTGTGCTTGCAATAAAACATCTGAAAATCTACCATTTTTCACTTGGAGGTTCTCAAACGTATTGGTTTTTTTCTCAAGTTGGTTTGCACTGCCTTGTGCAAAGATTTTATCAATTGCTAGCAGGACAGGACAGGACAAACAACTTTATTTGGTCCTGAGAGGCAAGGCAGCGGGCCAACTATGTAGGTCCCCACCCAGCCGTTGGCTAGTCCCATGTCGGAACAGAGAGGCCAGCAGTGTGCTTTAGTTGTGTTTTTGTGGTGTACAGTTGGGCACTTCATACAACACGCATGAAACTTTTACATCATCATTTGTACCCTCACTTCGCTCTTTTATTTATTGCTGCTACTGCATTGCATAATGCCACATTTGACTTATACGATATTAAGATAAGCAAGGTCTGCTGTAACGAGCTCATTGGTGAGCTAGTTTCCACAAGAATGGGGTGGTCACAGTCGCGTTTCTTCGCTACGTACAGCGGGAGGCGCAGAATAAGCTCATGCTAACTCAGAAAAACGTTCAGAAAGAAACTGCAAGTGGCGACTCCACGTTCGGATACCTGCAGTAAAGCTCGTGACTTCATAGCCGTTGACTGCGTTCGCTTTGGCCTACATAACGAATTATCGTTGACAATGACGCGCACTTTGTTCAAGGGGAGTCGTAAACACACAGCATTGCAAGATTAGTGAAAGCCTTTCTTAAGCCAAGCAAGATGTCTGACATCAGGCGTTCGTGTGCTGGGTATCAGGCACAAATTTCAAAAATGACTCTTTATCGATTTGAAATGAACCTCGGCCTGATGTCGCGAAATCGACGACGATGTGATTTTTGTATAGGCCGACTTGGTGTTTCACTTCATTGTTTCTTTAAAGGAATGTGCCTGTCTTTATTTTTTTTAGGAGAGCTACTTCCCTACAGTCTTTTGACGACGTCGGGAGATTCTAACATTGCATTGTGCATGCGTTTATTCCTGTATTTTTTTTCCCGGCTGTATTTCTTTTGTCATTTTCTATTGTGTGTGCTTTCATTTCTCTTTCGTTATGAGACTTCTGTGCGTTTGATACACGGAAAATGGGATGCCTTCAGAAAACGCAGCAGGTGTATTAACCACTTTCACCGTGGAAATATCCGTGACAGGCTTTTTGAATCACCGCTAGATGGCGCCACCTTCCTGCTCCTTTCACTTTTGTCCTTGATTTCCCGTCATTTGTCTGCAATGTGACCTCGCCCAACAGCACGCGCCGCCGCTCACGCCGCGTCGTCTGCTACACGTGCTACGTCCCTGTCGTCTGCTGCTCGCCGCTTGTTTGGAACGGCGCCAACCTTGTATGTAGTAAGTAGCAGCGCGCATTCACGCTCTCACCGCGTGACCCCCCATTCTGCTTCTCGACTGTACCGGAGGGGCGTGGCCCCCTTTGACACCTGTGGCGAGCGGTGAGATTAATGCTGTCCGAGAGGCGGATATGAGTCGCGTAATGTCAGCGTGTTTGAGAGGAGAAACCAAACCCGACTAACCAATGCGGTGGGAAAAGTCGCGAGCTCTGGGCAGTGAGCCAAGCGCCGTTATGAACGTTACGTCTGGTTGCACGGCGTTTCGTCTGCTGCACCGCTGTCGCCTAGTTCGAGTATCATCCGGTTCTAGCTAAATCCCGCGTCGTCTGTTACCGCGAAGCATTCACCGTTGTCACTTGCTGCGGGTTCCGTCTGGTTTACAACTACATCCCACGTCGTCTGCTACCGGAGAGCACACACAGCGTTGTCGTCTGCTACGGGTTTCGGCTACATCCCACGCTGTCTGCTACCGCGAAGCATACACCCGCTGTCATCTGCTGCACGTATCGCCGACTTCGGGCTTTACACAGCGTGTCGTCTGCCGAGGCCGAATCGTGCACCGTCGCTGTCGTCTGCCACTCTTCCGCCGCCGCTGCCTTTGCACTTATGCATGCGCGGCGGTGTTTACGTTTATTTTTTATTTCCCGAACGACGCTTGACGGAATAAGGGGGCCGTGCCGAACCGCGCCCACTCGCCGTGGTTCATCGGTTATACGCCCCGCTGCGACTTCCGGACTGCAGACGACTCCCGGTGCAGCAGACGACGCAACGTCTTGCGAGCAGCAGACGAATCAAGAGACGGCTCGTTTTCAACGTTTTGGGTGGCCCGACCGGGATTGTAACAGGTGGGCCCAGACCAACCAGACCCACGCGCGCTGCAACCTCCCGCGTGCCGATCTGCGCGTGGGCTGCCGCCTTCGACGTGCACATACAGCGGCCCCCAAGGCCTCCGCTGGGGTCTGTGTGTGTGTGCCTGCTACACGATACACAGTGAGTGAGTGCGCTTTCGCAGAACGGGCCGTCGCTTGAAAGGGAGAAGGCTATGTGTGTGACGTTATGGCCAGACGTGGATGGGTGCTGTCGTGCAGCTCGGACGGGGCACTCTCAAAACTTGGGTGCGTAACAGCCTTGTGCGGTGCGACGCGTGGAAGTGCAGTGTTTGGTCCTCGTGGTGGCGTACGAAGTTCATGTTCGTCGAAGTTCCTGTAAGGAAACCCGGGAGCGTCAGTTAAACCTGTACGTTGTTTGGTGCATAGGTGAATGTGACTCTACTGCGATCGACGGAGTTCCGAGTGGATTTTTGTTAATACGGAAAGTGAATATTCGAGTTTGGAAATGTCGTCATCACGCGCGACAATCTGTGGATGACCTTGGACAAGCGAAGACTTGAGGTATACCAGACGTCTTGTAGTCGTAGTGGTGCATTAGACGTCTTGAAGGCGTTTTGATTCGCCCGCGTATATGTTTACGTGCGCAAGATACGCGTTGATTGGACACTTTAGGTTTGAAGACAAATTTTCACGTTGGCACGCGCTGCAGTGACTGATGAATGGCTCGTTACAAAGTGAAATATGGAGCAGCTAAGACTAGTCGAGCGAAGTATAGCAGACGTGTCGTAGTCGTATTTATCGATGTGTGAGACGATGTCAAATGCTCCTATGAATCCATCGTACGCGTACATTGGTTCGGTGTCCTTATGCTGAAGAACATCCTGAAGATATCCTCGGGTTGGGGACATTTTCGAGCTTTGTGCACCCCTGACGGACAGCTGATCTGTTTCCTACGAAAAGATGGTTTCGAAAACTGTCGTTTCAGACCATCGCTTCAATACGTGTTAGTGCCTACAACGAGGAAAAAAAAATAAGGGGCTGGGTCCATGTTTATCGCTGAATCGGTCACGGTGCAATTAAAAGCTACATCGCGCCGAGGCGTTGCGGAGACTCGGAGGCTCTCATTCAAGGTCGAATGAAACCGGAAAGTCGTTTCACTCTCCCACTAATTAACGCGCCGACGTCTCATTCGTCGTTAATTGTTCTGTACCGGACATTGTGATATTAACAACCGCACTGTAGTTATATGTACCTCATCAAATATCGAAATGCCACTACAAATGAAGCTCCTTTTTTAAGGTAATTACGAAACCCATTAGCCATTTTTAATCTAGGTTTGGTAGCGAAGTGAGCTTTAAGAGGGCGTTTAAGATGACGTGTGCGCAGATTAGACCTTAGTATACAACCAGCTTGCTCATAATTCACTGCCCGAGTTTTCTTTCATTCATTTTTAGCTGGGCTGTGTTTGCCGTCATCTCAGTCGCAACTTTGTATCTTTCCAATAACGCAATGCACTAATCACCCACGAGTAATTATTCCCATCATGCACTGCGATGCAGTTGTCGTACGTCCTGACCACCTATATGAGTTGTTTATCGAGTTAACACATTAAGACCTAGGCATTGCTTTTTGGCAACGAAACGAACTCACCCCAGTACAATGAACTCCGTGTTTAGAGAACGGTGGTTTCGAAGCAATGTCGTCGTCTTTATTTTTCTGTAGTAATTAAGACCCAATCGCAGGTAATAGGTCTATTGACTGTTGTCTGTGACTTCAGAAACGAGCTGAATAATACTTGAACCTGTATGATAAAACCTGAAGGCAATCGCAAAATAGTTCGGTATATAGGTAATTCGGTATGTGAAACGTTTCGTATATCGAAGATTGATTCAATGGAATTTCGCAGCCGTTCGATATACGCGATGATTCGTTATATGCGAGTTCGACTGTATACCGAGTGCCAGTGAATTGAGAACTATTTGTTCCACTCCCGGAAACATCGGTATTCCTTGTACCGCAAGCTCCTTTTTCGTATAGGTATAAGTAGACTTTCTCTCGCAAAAAAAAAGTACGCAATTAAAAAGCATGTAGTGTACAATTAGACGTAGCCGACAATCCTTAGCTCGGGGTTGAAATACGCCTCCTCGAGAACAACCACTTATGGGCAGTCCATGTTCCTAACCTCTTCACCATCGCCATGGTCTTTTGAGATAGTCCAATGGCAGTTAATAGCACGTAAGTTGTTGATATACACATTATTTTAATGTACGCTTAAGGTCGTTAATAGTACATAAACACGGGGTTTTATAGTCGGCAGGAATACTCGCGGGTCGTGGTCGAGAAGTTTATTTGAAGTTCTCTGCCTCAACGGCTATAGTGTATATCACTGACTGATTTCTATAGCCAATGTAGGTTATTTATTCAAGCTTGCCCTCCTTCGAACGGTTCGCGAATTTTGCAGAGCTCAGACAAGCATACTGTGCGACTCTTTGCCAGCTGTATTGTTTGGACGGGGTTCAGCTCCAGCAGCTCTTTTTTCCGCCTGTTGCGTTTTCAATCTATCTCCATATCTATCTATTTTCAAGTCCGTAACCATCGCTGCAAAGTGTTGAAAGGTACCGAGAGCTGGCGTTGTGGCCTTGAGGCCTTATATAGGCAGCGGTGCAATCCAAACCGGCTACCGTCTTGAAGGTACCGAGTTCCAACCTTCGTTTCGCTGGACTAGTCCATTTTCAAGTCAACTTCTATGCTAAAACGTTCGCGGAGGATTCGAAAAAGCGGCCTTGCGTTGGACTGCCTACATATACCGTGTAACCTTGTTACAGCCAAGTCCATTACACGCGAAAGCAGCTTCGTTACATCGAAGGATATCTTACGGACGTATACATGTAGCACCGTACAAGTGGTGAGACTATTTTTCGTTTATTTCCTTCCTGTAACCGATAATTCGTAACGTCTGCAGTCGTTAAGGAAGAGAAATTGACAACCACTCGTCCGTAGCTCGAAGCTACGAGGAAATCCGTACGGATTTCCGGTCCGGGGATCAAACCCGAGAACGACACTTCTTAGTGGTGGTCGATCAGAACTCGTTTGCAGTACCCTTATTCGTAATATCGAGGTCCGACTGTAATAGCTAACGACGCATTCCCAGTCAGCATGTCTCGCTCCGCGTTCGGAAGGTGGAAGCCCAGCGCGCTGCTAGCGACCGCCACCGTCTTGGGACTCTACTACGTCCTGCTCAAGTCGTCGCTGTCGCCGGACGCGCCGTTGCGTCAGTCCGAACCGAGACGGCGTAGCGTGCAGTCGTGCGTTCACGACCCGATTCCGTGTCCTCGACTGCGATACGTCGACAGGCGGGAGGACGACCCGTCGATGCTCGTCGACCTGTCCAACTTCACCTACTTACTGGACTCGCCGCCATGCGGCGCTAGGGGCAGGCGACGTCACAGTGTTGGTGGTCGTGCACTCGGCGGCGGCTCACTTCGCCGAGCGTGACGTCATCCGAGCACGTGGGGAGCCGCGAGTCTGAGCAGTATGTGACGCTCAGGGTGGTCTTCATGCTGGCAAGGAGGCCCGACGACCCGGAGCTAGAGGACAAGATGGAGCGAGAGAACCGCAGGTAGGTGTCTGTGAGGGGACGCGCTCACAGTCTCCAAATCGTGAAAACTTATGCTTAATTCATTTTATTTATTTACAAACACTTTATGCTACGCTATTTACCGCGTGCTTACAGGAGGTTTTCAGAGGCCTAGAATGGGAACAGATAGGTATAAGAGTTAATGGAGAGTACCTTAGTAACCTGCGCTTCGCCGATGACATTGCATTGCTGAGTAACTCAGGGGACGGATTGCAACTCATGATTACAGAGTTAGACAAGGAGAGCAGAAAGGTGGGTCTTAAAATTAATCTGCAGAAAACGAAAGTAATGTACAACAACCTCGGAAGAGAGCAGCGCTTCGAGATAGGTAACAGTGCACTTCAAGTTGTAAAAGACTATATCTACTTAGGGCAGGTAATAACCGCGGAGCCGAACCACGAGGTTGAAGTAACTAGAATAATAAGAATGGGGTGGAGCACATTTGGCAAGCACTTTCAAATTATGACAGGTAGATTGCCACTATCCCTTAAGAGGAAGGTATATATCAGCTGTATCTTGCCGGTACTTAGCTACCGAGCATAAACCTGGAGACTTACAAAGAGGGTTCAGCTTAAATTGATGACGACGCAACGAGCAGTGGAAATGAAAATGGTAGGTGTAACCTTAAGAGACAAAAAGAGAGCAGAGTGGATTAGGGAAGAAACCGGGGTTAAGGATATCGTAGTTGAAATCAAGTAGAGGAAATGGACATATGGGTCGGGCATGTAGCGCGTAGACAGGATTACCGCTGGTCATTAAGGGTAACCAACTGGATTCCCCAGCGAAGGCAAGCGGGCTATGGGGGCGACAGAAGGTTAGGTGGGCAGATGAGGTTAAGAAGTTTGCGGGTATAAATTGGAAGCAGCAAGCACAGGACCGAGTTGACTGGCGGAACATGGGAGAAACCTTTGTCCTGCAGTGGACGTAGTCAGGCTGATGATGATGATGATGATGACCCTATGCGCGCCACGAGTCTATAGTGGTTATGGCACTAGACCTCTACCCGGAGGTTGCGGTTTGAAATGCCGACCGAATTCCGATGGATGCTAAGTTCTTGAGACTCCTGTGCTTAGATTTAGGTGCACATAAGGGACATCAGGTCGTCTATATTTCCGGAGCCCTCCATTACGGTTGGTCAAAACGACGTCGTGGTTTTGGGACGTTAAACTCCAATGATTACTATCATTACTCGAAATACCTATTAGGCCTCGTAGAGCTTCATGTGGGGGGGATCGGACACAGAAGTAAACACAAAGTATACGTCAACATCAAGAACTGTGGCAAGTACAGCAGTGCTGACGTATGTAAAAGCTGTGCTATGTGGCATTAGATTACAAGATACGATGGTTTACCAAGTGTCACAAAAAGGGAAAGGAACAGTGTAGTAGATGCATATTAAGGGGGTACACAGTCATGATATTTTTGTTTTGTATAATATGCTGGGCCAAACCTTAGCATTTGGGTCGGCCAAGGATTCACTGGCGTACCCAGGGGGATGGGGAAGTTTATATTCGAGTCCATCTTGGCGTCCGTCCTAAAGAGAAAGCCATTTTACTTGTGGTGACATGCCTCGCATCGTGAAGTATTCTCATGGTGGAGCCTAATTAAACTGAAAAGTCAATTATATCGATCAGTAAAATTCAAAGTTGGGTGAATTGGTGGTAATTCATGTTCGAGTGTGAAGCAGCGCACGGAGAGAATGCACAAAAAGGAATGAAACGACTGAACAACAGCACTCGTTTCGGTTCTTTTAGTGCCTAGCAGCACACGAACGCGTCCTGCTGCGACAATGAAAAAAATGACTGGGATGCAGTAAACGGCTGAAGGTGCTTAATTAAAATATTGTGTGTTGGCGGAACAAAGTCAATTCGCTGACTACGCATAAACATGGTAAGGTGGACATCAAGAAGTGCCTATTTCAGGAAAATTGCGACCATGAGAAAATCGAATATCTAACCCGTGGTAGCGGGTTAGATATCATCATCATGGTATCGTGATGACCCTGTCGTGTGGCTGTCGTTCTACAAGGCTGACGAACGCTGGAGAGAGAGCATGACGGTTGAAATGCTGATTCAGCTCGATAACAGCGTTCCGAGGATAACTGCTCGGAAGAAAAAAAAGATAAGATAGATAGATAGATAGATAGATAGATAGATAGATAGATAGATAGATAGATAGATAGATAGATAGATAGATAGATAGATAGATAGATAGATAGATAGATAGATAGATAGATAGATAGATAAAAATTAGGGAAGGCCTTCTAAGTTCACTAATTTGTTCTTCGAACAAATAGGAACGAGTTATAGTGTGTAGTCGAATAAGTAAAAAAAATATATTCTTTGACTTTCCTTTCAAACGCGTCAAAGCACTCGCTTCATAAAGGCTCGTTTACGCCCTTAAGAGCGTCGTGCTTCTCCACAACTCTCCTAAAGAGAGTCTGTGCGCACGCTGTAAAAGGAACGTCGCACATGTGATTCTCACATGTATTGTTGAAAGTCCTTCCCACTCATAAATACACTGGTTTTGACGATCTATTGGTTATAACGATGAGATGCTAATCCACCGTCAGCCTTTTGTGTGTTTTCTATGGTTAAATAACCCGCTTACAGCAATGCCCGCATGCCACATTGTGGATTATAATGATGAATTTGGCTGGTAGGCGTCCATGCCGAAAGGTAATAGGATGTTAAATCCACGGAAAGAGATACCAAAAAATTCGAGCTCTGAACCCTCGCCCCCAACCCCAACGCCCCTCCAGCGGTCTTGGAATTTGTTTATGAGCTTCGCCGCACAGCGTAATAGCATTGCAGCAAAGCTGACTTTAAAATGCGCTACGGTGTCGGAGAAGTGGGGGCTTTCGGACGTGTAATTTAGGTACAAAAACAAACAAACAAAAAGAAAATATGTCGAATAGTTTTAGCGCTCAAAAATTCAGATGTTGTCATAGATTGGCTCTATGAGGTTCGTGGTGGTTCCGTAAAACCATCCGAATTTTCAAACATGCCCGATAAATCGGCCCGCTCCTTATCATTGATATATATTGGCATATCCCTTCTAATATTATAATTTTCTCACAATAGCTTGTTTTCACAATTGCTTCGTTTTCGTGCAACCCGTTTGTGGCAATCATCGGTTATAACACAGAAGTCTTCGTGGTGCTTGAGTATTGTTAAGAGTGATTTCGACTGTATACCTTATATAGTGGACGGAGGGACGACCGCCGTTATAGAACATCGGACGCGTTATTCGAAAGGTCGCAGTTTAGGTCTTTGCCGGCGGTGCATTATTTTTTCGTCGTCCACTCTTCTTTCATCGCATTGCGATTACTTCTAATCACATCCCCTATACTCTCCTTTCTGTTAGTTCTGAGTGTTTTGTTTAACACGAGTATTCGACGATTTAGAGTACGAGTACTCTCTTATGAGAGAACAATGTGGGTTTATAATACATGTTAGATGAATACGAGTACGATGTAGTCTACTACATTCTCCTTTCTGTTAGTTCTGAGTGTCTTGTTTAACACAAGTATTTGACAATTTTGAGTACGTGTACTCTCCTATGGGAGAACAATGTGTGTTTGTAATACATGCTCTATGATTCAGGGTACAATGTACTCTACTCTACTATGGGAGAGCACTAGGCTGGCCCCGCCGCGGTGGTCTAGTGGCTAAGGTACACGGCTGCTGACCCGCAGGTCGCGGGATCGAATCCCGGCTGCGGCGGCTGCATTTCCGATGGAGGCGGAAATGATGTAGGCCCGTGTACTCAGATTTGGGTGCACGTTAAAGAACCCCAGGTGGTCGAAATTTCCGGAGCCCTCCACTACGGCGTCTCTCATAATCATATAGTGGTTTTGGGACGTTAAACCCCACATATCAATCAATCAATTGAGAGCACTAGGCTGTCCCAGAAACTCGATCAGTATTTCCAATGTGTGTTTAGAAAGAAGTGTTTAACGATTCAGAATACTACTGCGGGAGAGCAGCCCACTGTCCCAGATCATGTGTGTAGAGAAGAAGCGCTTGCAATATGTTTAGAAAACGTGTTCAATGATTTAGAGAACCTCGCACTCTACAATGGGAGAGTAGAAAGCCGTCGCGAGAAGAAAAGAATTAAGGATGTTTATATTAGGTTCATTCAAATACGTCTGTCTAGAAAAAGTTGTTAACGATTTAGAGTACTTGGTACTCTACTATGGGAGAGCATGAAGCCGTCCCTTGGGCCTCACACATCATCAGGCCGTGTCGACAAAAATTGCACCGTGAACAAGTTCACCTGGTTTCGTTTTGAAAAAGTGGTCAACAATTTTGAGTACTTGGCACTTTACTACTGGAGAACACAAAAACGTCTCGTGAGCCTGGCAGTTTGGTAAAAAGTTATTAACGCTTTAGAGTACGAGGTACTCTACTATGGGAGAGCTGAAAGCCGTCCCGGTAGCCGCCCGCCATAACAATACCTGGATGTGTTTGGAAAAGAATGTTTAACAATTTCGAGTACTTCGTATACTCAAGTATGGGAGAGCACTGAGCCGTCCCGCTAACCTGTGTGTTTAGAATAAGTGGTTAACGATTTCGAGTACTTAGTACTCGATTATGCCGTCGCGTGGGCCTCACATTGCGTGTTTAGAAAAGTGGGTGTAACGATCTAGAGTACTGGGTACTCTACTATGAGAGAGCGTTAAGCTGTCCCGTGAGAAGCAGAAATAAATGGCAAGAATGTGTTTAGAAATAGTTGTTTACGATTTAGAGTACAAGGTACTCTACTATGGGAGAGCTTAAAGCCGTCCCGTCGGCGAGTTAGCGGTCATCGAAGACAGTTTCCTGTGTGTTTAGATTAAGTAGTTAACGATTTAGAGTACTCGGTACTCTACTATGGGAGAGCTAGAGCCGTCCCTCCTGAACCGCCATCAAGACGTTGTCAATGGCGAGGGGAACATCCTTATACACAGAGCCTCAGTTTTGAGGCGTCTCGCTGCGTCG